ATTATTTTATTAAATATTATTCATTTATGTATTTGATTAATGTGGGTGAGTTCATGTGTTTTTTCATATTTTTTATTTTTATTTATTTTTTTTAAGGAAGCGTTTGGCCTCATTTAGATATCACCTCGCGTAAATTTGCTTTTTAGCTTCGTTTTCACTTTTAATTATGTAATTAATATTAAGAAATTGCTTTAAACTTCTTAGCTCTTCCATTAAATTTGGCACATTTAAAATTAATTTGTGTGTGTATGTACGAGTGTGTATGTGTGTGTGAGAGAGTATTTGATTTGGAAGTGCATTTAGTGTGTCTTGATGTATTTGTGATATAGGAATTGCACAGAAAGCTGAGATAGGAATTCATCAATGACATTCAACACTTTCCCAAGAGTATTCAAAAAGTTAGCTTAGTTTAATATATTTTTATATAATTCGTTTTGTTGTTAGTAAGGAACAAGAAATAGTTTGCTGTTTGTGTTTTTCATTTGCTTTTTGTGGAACATAGCCTATGTGTATATAATTATATGTATATAGCCAAGGTCGGCTCTACTACCTGTTTGCGAGCAGGCCATTAGCTGGCGGTAAGACGCCGGGCGGCGTATTTGGTCCGCTCAGCACGACGCCGGCGCTCATTAAACTGGGGCTGGCCACCGCGGTGGCCACGGCGCTCAGCTGCCGCTGCTGGGCTAGGCTGTTCGCTGCGGCCGCGTTGTTGGAGCCCGCGCGCTGGTGCTTGCCGGAGCTGCCTTTGATCAGGCTGCCATTGTTCTTCTGGGTCATGTGGGTCTGGTAGTGCTTGGCCAGATGCGCCTTCTGCCGGAAGCTCTTGCCGCACAGCGAGCACGCGAATGGCTTCTCGCCCGTGTGCGTGCGTATGTGCACATTCACCGAGTACTTGTCCTTGAAGCCCTTCGAGCAGATGGAGCAGTAGTGCAGCGAACGCTCCTTCCGCTGGCTGCCGCCGCCGGTGCTGCTGCCTCCCGAGTTGGTGTTGCAGTTGGCTGGCGGACTGTTGCTGCTGCTGCTCGCGCTGCCGCTCGAGGAGGAGCTGCCGCCGTTGCCTATGACCACGCCCAGTACACTATTGCTGCTGCTGTTGTTGTTATTGGCGTTGCTGCTGTTGTTGTTGTTGGCCACATTAGGATTGTTGTTGTTGTTGGCGCTGCTGTTGCTGCGCTTGTACTGCTTCTTCGGTTTGCTAATGCCGCCCAGGCGACCTCCATGCACAGTTGTGCCCACAGCAGCTGCTGTCGACGTGGACACCTCGGGCTTCAGTGGCTGCGGGGGCGGTGGCTGTTGCTGTTGCTGCTGCTGTTGTTGCTGCTGCTGTTGCTGCTGTTGCTGCTGTGCGTTGGCCAGCGGCTGCAGTTGCTGTGCTGCGTTTGCCGCTGTGCCGTTCGGCGACAGCTGCATGAGCACGTCGCCGCCGGCGTAGTCACCTGGAGTGGGTGTGCCCGTGCTGGCGCTGCAGAACTGCTGCACCTCATTGGCAATGCGCTTGATCTTCTCGAAGTCGTCGCTGAACGCATTCTCCAGCGAGAGGAACATGTCGTCGACAATGATGCTGGCGTTGCCGCCGTGCTGGCCGTGATTCGAGCCAGCCATGTGCGCGCTTGGTCCACCGTGGGTCATGGCCTGGGCATCGTCGAACATTTGGGCAGTGCTGAGCGTGGAGTCCGCAAAGCCCAGCGCATCGGCGGCATCGTCCGGCGTGAAGAGTAGTCTGCGCATCTCTTCGTCCTTGACCACGGGCAGAGCCAGTCCATTTTGCATGTGGAGGCCCTTGGCGTAGCCTTTGCCCTGCAGTGCGCTGCGCAACAGGGACTCCGCCGTATTCTGCTCCGCCTCCGCATTGTGATCGGCCATGTGCCAGTCGTTGTTGTTGTTCTGGAACTGGGCCAACTGCTGGCCCAGCTCATTGACACCGCCGCCCGCTATGGAAATGGCCGTGACCAGCGAGGGCAGCGTCTGGCCGTGCGACTGCGACTGCGAAATACTGCTGAGGCCATTGGCATCCGCTCCATTGACAATCACATCCTTGCCATCCGTGCTGAATCCGCTGTCGTCGTACGGGTACTCCGACTTGATGTAGCCTGGAAAGCTGCCCAGCAAGCTGTCCAAGTCCAGCGCGCTGGGCAGCTGCTCCGCCTCGGCACGCTTCAGCCAAGGCTCGCCGCCATTTAATACTGTCAATGTGTAGATCTGGCCGTCCGTTGTGTCCAGGCTGCTGATGGTGTCGCTGCTGCTGCCGGCAGCGCTCGACGAGCTGCTGGCGTTTGGCTGCTGCTGCTGCTGCTGTTGGTGCTGCTGCTGATGCTGCTGTTGCTGCTGCTGCTGCTGCTGCTGATGGGGATGTGGGTGTGAGTGTGGATGCGATTGCGGAGACGTGGGGCTTGGCTGGTTGCTGCAGCGCACGTTGCTGGCATTGACAGTAGTCGTGGCGCTGGCTGTGATCGGCTGCTGCTGCCAGCAGTAGCGATCGAGGTCCTCGAAAATCGAGCTCGAGTCCAGGCGGCTGCTGTCCTTGTCCTGATGCCAAAACTGTCAAATGAAACGAAATGAAGCGAGCGAGAGGATTCGGTTTAGATAAACAGTGATTGACGACTAGCGAGGATCTGATGATGCCTTCATACTCACCTCGTAGCCTTGTAACGTGGGATCGCCGCCATTGCTGCTGCTGCCATTGCGATTACTCACAGGGACAATGCCAGCACCACCGCCGCCGCCCTCGCCAATGTCGTGGGTCATGCTGCTGGTGGTTCGGGCGGCGTGGTGGTTCGGCTGCGGCGTTTGTGATGTCGTTGGCTGATGACCTTGGCTATGGCTGTGACTGTGCTGCTGCTGCTGGTGGTGTTGCTGCTGCTGATGGTGCTGTTGTTGCTGCTGCAGGCTGACACCGACACCGACGCCCACATCGACGCCAACACCAATGCCAATGCCCATGTCCGGCGCCGTGACAAAATCGAAGAAATCCGTCTTTGAGAGATCCTCGGCACGAAAGGATTCACTGATATCCATGCCAGTCGATGTGGACATATCCTCGGTGCCAATCATTTGTTGTGCGTGTATTTCCAGTTCGCAAAACTCTGTTCAATGCTGGCCCAGGAGAACAAATGTTGCTGAATTTTTTGTGTATGTCTCTTTCCAGCTGCAATTGACAAAGATGGTAAGAAAACACTATTAAAATCTAATTCGTTTATTTAGTTTTTTTAATAAAGATTTATATTGCTTTCGTAATTTATATAATTGAAATTTAATGCATTCACAGGCAACAAAACGAAATAAAACCAGCTCTAAGTGTTTTGTTGCTGCTGTTGTTGTTGGCAACTTCATCCACGCCTCTGATTAGTAAACAGTTTCCCTCGAATGTCTTTGGGGACATGCAGGCATGTGTGTGTGCGATTGTGTGTGTGTGTGTGTACATTAATTTATTTAAGCCACTTGTCAGCTGGCTGCATAAGTCAATCAGTCATTCATTCGCCCATTTCTTGCACTCGGCTCACCTCGGCTCGCCGGCGTGCATTCCAGCAATACTTGCATTTTAATTTGGCCAGCTACTTTAGCCTTCTCAGCTTTTTGCTTGGCTATCTGCAAACAAATAAATCAAACTGACAGAAGGGTGACAAAGTGTAAACACATTTGGCGTGCCCGGCTCGTAAATCTCCTGAAGCCGCACTTGGACTTCGGCTAAAGCCAAATGCTGACGCGGTGACACGATGTCTTTTATTTTATTTTATTTCAGTTTTTTATTTGTATTTTTTTTTTCTTTTTTGTTTCATTTGCATAGATTCTGCGAGTCGCATTTAGAATAGGCAATCTAGCTGGTGCTGCCAAAAAAAAAAAAGGAAATCAGACTAAAATCAACTTGGACTGCAGGGTGGCTGCTGCCTTGATTAGAAATCCATTTGGTCAGTCCGAGATCGAGCTATCGAAATTGTATTGACAGCTTGCGTGCAGTTGCTGTTGCAGCAATTCAGATTCGGATTCAGATTGCGATTTTGATCTGTTGTTCATGTGTTTTGTTGTTGTTGTTGCTGGCCCGTCAAAGTCGTGCAGCAAGTACTAAATGTTTAAATTGTCAATTGATTTGCTTTTGTTTGAAATATTTGTTGTAATTTTTGGTTTTTGTTTTTATGTTTTTGTTGTTTGATTTTTTGGGTCTGCTTATAGGAGAAATATGGACGGCATTTCGAGGCCTGGTGTGGCAGCGTGAGAACCACAAACAGAAATGACTTAACAAATTTGCATACAGCACAGAGAGCAAAGAGCTTGGCGCATAGCTTAGATAAGGGCAAAGCGAAGAGAAAATGCCTGGGTATAAATATTTCAGATGCTATTGCTAGGAACATTTAAGTGCAATCTACGCAGAAATCAACTGCAATGTGAGGCCAGGTCTTTGAAATGCTTAGTTGAGGCCGCTGCTGTCCGCTGCAGAGTCAAGCTGCAGCATCAACACCTGATCTCCAAAGACATTAAAGTGCGGCAGTGCCGGCCAAAGACACGACCCATTAGAGCCTGAATGAAAGCAACAACAACAAGTAGTTACAACAAGTGCAGGCCAATGGCCAAGTCAGAGTCCAAGCGATGGTCCAGTCTGCATTTTAGACTCTCGAACTGAGCTCGTTTTCAATGTTTTCCACAGCTTATCGCCCGTTCATCTGACCGGCCATAGAAGGCAAAGGCAGCTTACTGAAATTTCACCAAAAAAAAAAAAAGAAAAAAAAAAAGAGAGAAGTAAAGAGACTTGAGCTTGGCCTGGCTCAAATGCGTAATCATTTGTAGTCATTTGCCTGGCCTCGCTGGCTGCCGCTTGGTAGTTTAGCTAATCATGATGTTTAAATTCGAAAAATTACTTTATACTTATTTTATGGTCAACGGAGAGTAATAGAGGGAGGATCGCTTGTAAAGTATATGCATATAAAATGCATCAAAAAAGCACAGACAAAAAATAGTAAATCAAATAATAAGCGTTTCTTTTGAGAGATTTTTTGGGGCGCCAATATTGACTAATTTGGCCACGATTATTGTTATTTGACTACAGCCCGGGCAAAAAGAAAGTTTACGGTGCTACGTGCATATAGTACACTCAGACATAACTGGCTGATCGGCTGCCTGGCGGCCAATCATGTACGTGCATGTGCCCAGCACATGCCTCATGAGTCAAGATGAAGATGCATGTGGCCGCAGCTCGAACTCCAGCTCCATCTCCATCTTCATGTCCTACTCCATCTTCGACTCCTTCTCCTTCTCCGATTGCGATTGCAGTTTATTTCTTTATGCCGCATAGCAATTGCAATCGTAATCGTAGAAATTGTTAGCGCATTTTGGCCAATGCAAACAGCCTGCAGCGGCTTCATTTAAAAAACATGATAGCATGATAGGCTACACTATCTGCCAGAAAGGTTCCCTTCATTTTAGGGACGAGCACGTGTGGCAGGTGAGTGAGCACAAAGGTAAAAAAAAATATATAAGATATTCAATTCATAGTCAAATTCATTAATAAACAAGAAATTTATGTTATTATTATGTAAATTTTAATGAATACACAGAAACTTTCTTTTTAATGCTATTTAGATAAATAATAATATCCATGTAAACTTTTTTTCTGGAGAAATCAAAGTACTTTTAAAAAAATATTTTTTGATTATAAAAAAAATAAAAAATATTTTTATTCATTTTTTTTATTAACTCATTAAATTAAAATAAAACAATCTTCTATAAGAAAATTAAATGACTTCAATTTAATGCTTAAATTCATATTGTTAAAATGAAAATTTAAAAACTTGCTCTTTGAGAGAGAAAGAGTATTTGGTATTCGCTGCTCTCTCGCAGCTTGCTCCAAAGTAACTTGTTTATGCAGCTTGCAATTTTGTTTGATTGCATAAAGGGGGCCTATTCGATTATGGGCCATAAATAAAAATGCGCCAATAATTTTTTTAATTAAACGAAATTTTGGCATATTTATTTACACAGAAGTACGAGCGAGATACTATCTCGTGTGCTATTTGACATACAGTTAGTTACTGGAAAGTATACATATATAGATATACTTATAGATGTATAGTACACTGTGCTGGGGCTTTGTTTGGCATGCAAATTGCTAAGGAAAATTGCCAGGGAAATTTATTGCAGTATGCAAAAGAGCAGAGGCAACGGCAGCTGAAAGTTATGAAGTTTTCGGCACAATTTCTTTGGTGTGCCTGGCCCGAGCATGATTAGCATCCCTCCATCTTGCGGGCGTCAAATACAAAGATGAAAAAAATAAAAATATAAAAAATAAAATGCGGTAGTCAAGAGCCACCGCTGTTGCCAAGATTAGTTTATGTGCAGGAATTTGTATATTGTGGTTACACAATTTGCCTCAGCTGCGCCTCGGCTCCTTGCCCTGATCAAGTTTTGTCTTCAAAATTACACGCTTGAGCTCTTCTGCTTCTGCTGCTGTCTGCCTCGATTGCGATTGCTTGTCAAATGTATTTGGTTTTTCCTTTGGCTGTCTGCCGTCTGCTGCTTGTGTTTTCTGATTTCTGTTTTGCTATGATTTTTTCACGATTTTCCACGCATTTTTAACCCAAATTCCGTGCTAAACGATTTTTTAATGTCTTAACAAGTTTCAATTACCAATAGGCCGCAGCCGCGATGGCTAAATGCGTACATATGCCGTTTGCCGACATGCTGCAAATGAAAACCAGTCGCCGTCGCAGCTCCGCTGCAATCAATTAAAATAATTCAGCAATTGTTGCGAGAAAAATCAAGAAAAGATAGACACATAAAGAAGACAATGCGGCGAAAAACCTGTCGATCCAGATGAGCCGCCGAGAATCCGCTGCGGCCAAAGCAAGAAAAGTTGACTCCAATTGCACTTCGATTGGCCAAAATGGAGGCATCAGCGAAAATATCTATGGATTTGTGTGCGCACTTGTCGATAATAGAATATTTATTGAACTGGGCCAGATTAACTGCGTATTGCCTGCAATTGCAAAGCAATTGCTTTTGGTGGATATTTCTCTCCACAGATAACAGTTCTTCTTTATATGTGCTTTTAAGTGAATGCGATAGGCCCTTGAGCCGAAATCTGCCGAGTTCTTTGTATGTTATATATATCGGAGCTGTAAGCCCATAAAGATGGCAACAATACGAGACAGCCTTAGGTCTTAATCTTAGCTTGAAGAGCTCGGCTTTTTAATTACAGTTATATTACATACAAATTAGTTTTCTTACTATTTTTACAATTTGAATATAAAATTTGGTAATAAAATATGTAATTATCTAAGCGTTTTATTACTATCAAATTTTTATCATATGTATTTGCACCTCGTAATAGATACGATAACCCCTCAAATAAAAATTGTAATATGCTGCAGCGGCCTATAAAACGCATCATAGGCGAATGAAAGCTCGTGAAAAAAAGCGACTCAATGCAGCTGCAGATTTATCAATTTTTTATTGATTTCTTTTATTTTTGGAGTATTTTTTTTTTTATTTGCGCTCACATTCATTTCTCCAATGCAAATGCCGATCGTTAGCGAAGTGAGACTAGTCTCTGCCGGTTGGCCAGACGATCATTTTTCAGTCAGATAATTATCGCCCACCAACCGACTGAAAAGCGGCTGCTGCTGTTGCTGCTGCTGCTGCTGCTGATCTCCTCCTGCTCCTCCTCCTCCTCCTCCCTGCAGCCGGAGAGTAGTGCTGACCAATTGACCAATAGACGGACAGGTTGATAAGCGGATGGGCAGCTGTTGCAGGCGGACTTATGTTTCAATTGCATGCAAATGCATAATTGAATCAAATGGCCTTTCAGCTGCAACTTTCGAGCCGCGGAGCCGGCCTAATGAAGTAATCAACGGACAGCATCTCAAACTTTGCCTGGCATTGTCAATCAAAAGAAACGTTTTTATTGGCCTGCGTTACAAACCAAATGGCATCAAGATGTATTAATCATTTCGACCACTGTTCGCGTTGGCGGTTAACGGCGTCGCTGGCTGCGCTAGTGGCTCTAGCTGGGGCTATGGCTGTGGCTATGACTCCGCAGACGCGTCGGCAGCGCTTTATCAGAGCGCGCAGATCTTTGGCATAAGCAAACGTAAAAACGTATAAAGCCAAATAACTTCAGGCGAGACAAGCATGATTAAAATGCGCAAAAATGGCAAA